TGACGGCACCGTGGGACCGGCTCCCTCCTCCCGGCAGGTGATGGGCGGCCGGAGCTGGGAGCGGAGCCCACCGGGGGCCGAGGAGAAGGGGAGCAGCCCGGGGGCACGGGCGGACCTGTGGTGGCACCGGGGACCAAGGGAGGCTGGTGCTGAGCTCCCGGCGGCTCTGGCAGGGATGGGTACCCGCAGAGCGGGATGGGGATGTGCCGGCGACAGGAGCAGATCTCGGAGGGTTTGTGGGCCAAGGCTGCAGGGCTGCCCAAAGAGGAAGGGAGGCTGGCGGGGTTGTGATAAGAACACGAGAGCCTCTGCTGCAGCCAGCCACGCAGCCCATCTGGAGGCCACTGCTCTTCCAGCCAACTCTGAGTTTCACTCATACGGTTTTCATTGCTGGAGTGTGGCCTTCATCAGGAGTTTGGTTTGATGGTTCTGCCCCTCGCTGGGTACCCACAGGGATGGGCTGAAGCCGGGATGCCCAAGGGTGAGGTCAGCTCTGGACTGAGGAGATGTTGAGGGCATGTCACCCACCTGCCAGGTTGGAATGTGGGCATCACCTGCTTAATTTGCCTGCAAAGGCTGAGATGACAGGGTGTCATTGGTGTTAATGGAGGGAAATTATGGCTGTTCCTCATCTTGGCAGTGTGGCTGGCAGATGAGGATGCTGGGGTCAGCTTGACCAACAGCTTCCCTAGATCAGTGTTAGAAACAAGGGCAGCTGCCCCCACCTCCATCACGAGGTGCCAGATAAGGGCTGGAGCTTCTTGCTCCTGTAATCAATGCTTTGTTTGGAGAAGTTTGGAAATACCTTGTGAGGAAGTTCCTGGTTGTAGAGCGGCACAGCGGGGCGCAAACAGAACTGGGAAGGCAGCAGGGGCTGCTCGTGGTGCCGGGGGAGGTGATGCAAAACCAGCGGTATCACCATGAAGCAACTTCCCGTCAGCCAGCTGTGTCGGAATGTCACGCTCTTATCACCCTCACTGGGTGAAAAAAGCAAGATTTGGCATCCTTGGCCAGCTCCAAACGGGGAGGTGACACTCTGCTCTTGTCCCTCAGACGGTGGCAGGGTGATGTCAGCTTGATCCAGAGCCATGGCCAAGTACCTGAAGCACTTCACGGTGGTGGGCGATGACCCCGTGCAATGGAGCAACGACTATCGGAAATGGGAGGAGGAGGAGGAGACTGGGGAGAAGCAGCCAGATGGAGAGATCAAGCTGGAGCCCCCCAGGAGAAACATCTCCTTCCAGTACATGATGAAAAAGGTCTTCAGCTCTCACAGGTTTCAGGTGAGGCAGAACAACCCCAGGCTGAGGGCACTTGTGACAGCAGAGCTGCTGTGGGACCGAGCTCAGGGAGAGCACTGAGGTCATGAACCCCACAGTGCAAAGAGCAGCAGCTGCTGCTGAGCTGAGCTGTCCTGTCAGAACAGAGCAGCTCTGCTGCAGGTGCAGACGTCCCCTGAGAGGAGACAAGCCCCAGTGCACAATCACCACAGCTCTGGCACGTGCTTGCTCCCCAAGCCCCCCACGCCAAGCAGGGTCTGGTGGGGAGCCAGGTGGTTCAAAGTGGAATAACTGACCATTTGGGGCAGCAGGAGTGGGAGCAATGGAAAGCTCCATGAAACACAACCAGTCAAATCAGGGCTGTGGGCACTGGGGTGTGTTTGTCTGAAGGGCTGCATTGGCTCCTCTTGCTCCTCTGTCTGTGCTGGTATGGGATTCATGTTGGTTCTTCTCCTCCAACAGATTGGGGTTGTCTGCTTGGTGATCCTGGATGCCTTGTTGGTTCTTGGGGAATTGCTTATGGATTTGGAAATCATCCTTCCGGACAGATATAATATAACCCCAAAGGTAAAATGTGGGGAAGTGTCAACATGAACAGCAGTTCCCTCCCTTTGGTGTCCCTCCTGAATAGGCTGGGCAAGGCAGGGCCTGGACTTCCAGCCTTGCTGAGCCGGTGGTTGTGGAAGAAAAGTCCTGAGCCCTCTCCCTGTAGAGCCAAACCAGAGGAGCCCTCAAGCAGCAGAGGCTCTCCAGCCTGCTCTGCCTCTGTGCACTCTGCAGGGCTTCCTGCCCTAAACTTGTGCTCTTTTCCAGGTTTTCCACTACGTCTCCCTGTCCATTTTAACCATTTTCCTGGTTGAGGTGGGGTTTAAAATCTTTGTCTACCGCCGGGAGTTCTTCCACCACAAGTTCGAGGTGCTGGATGCGATCGTTGTCGTCGTGTCCTTCATCCTGGACATCGTCCTCATCTTCCGCGAGCACGAGTTCGAGGCCGTGGGGCTCCTGATCCTGCTGCGCCTCTGGAGGGTGGCCCGGATCATCAACGGTGGGTGCAGGGCTGGGCTGTGCTTGCCAAACTTCCCGGAATCACCTGGGCTTTGTTCCTTCCTCAAACCCAACCCCAGGGGTTCTGCTCTCCCAGCATACTCAGAGTTCTGTCTGTGTGGAACTTTAATCAGAATGCAAGTTCTTTGGAGCAGTGACAACCTGCTGCTTGTGTTGGCATGATGCCTCAGGTGCATGGCAGCCAGGCAGGTTCCCCCTAAAAAACCCCATAATCTGTTCCTACACCCCTCTCCTGCAAAGGGATGGCTCATGTTCTGAATTTCCACTGTAGGATCCTTCTGGCAGGGGAGCCCCTGTCTTCCTGAATTTGCTGCATTAAAGCAGCAGAGTAGGTTTTAATGCTCTGTTCTGCCGTGACTCCATTATCCCCTCCAGGGATGCTGCAGGGAATGTCCTGATCTTACTCTAGATCTTTCTTGCTTGAATTCAAAGGGCTTGCCATAAAAAGAGAAATAGAAAATGTCCCCAAATCAGGCTTAAGTGACTTCACTGCTGTAACTGTTGCAAGTAGATGTAAATTTGGATATAGCCGAAACAAGCATAGCTGCAAATTCCTTCTTGAGGAAGGAATTTTGGGATTCCAAAGAATATGGCAATGAATGATTTCAGATTCCTGCGTGAAACCTCAGCTCAAGCTCTGTCCTGTGTCACTTTTGGTGGGTGCTCCATATTTGAGACAGCTGGGATCAGAAGAGGGGATTGCTGGGGCTGTGCCCATTGTCCTCAGCCCCTTTCAGTGGGGAGAGGGTGCCTGGCTGGGTGCCAGAGAGAAGAGAGATGTGAGAGCAGCTTGTGGCTTTCCTTAGTTCAGAGTGAAAGTCAGAGAGAAACCGGATTTGTGTGGGGCTGTGGGAACCACGGCAGCCTCACAGCACAGCAGAAAGCCAGGACTGCAATTATGGGTAAATCCCCTCATCCTTGGGTGCTCCAGGCTCCCTGCCAAGCTTTCTGCAATATCCACCTGCTTGCAGCAAAAAGGGACAAAGGGAATCTGCCCCACGCTGGGGTGTTGGGTGTCAGTGCCTGGGCACGGTTCCTGTCGATGTTATCAATGCAAATGAGCAGCAGCGCTGCTTTGTCCTGGGAGAACTGAACCCCCAGAGCCCAAAGGGTGCCTGGAGCTCTGGAATCAGCCATGACCCAGAGGAGCTGTGCCTGGAGCTCTGGAATCAGCCATGAGCCAGGGGGGCTGTGCCTGGAGCTCTGGAATCAGCCATGACCCAGGGAAGCTGTGCCTGGAGCTCTGGAATCAGCCATGACCCAGGGGAGCTGTGCCTGGAGCTCTGGAATCAGCCATGACCCAGGGGAGCTGTGCCTGGAGCTCTGGAATCAGCCATGAGCCAGGGGAGCTGTGGCGGGAGGGAGAACGTGATGTTCTTCAAGCTCTCATCGAGCTGCTTTGTTTTATCTTTGTGGGAAGAAACTGCCTTCAGTGTGGGGGCTGAGTTGACATGGGATCACCAAATGGTGCTTATAGAGAAGTGACACCTCTGCCATGAGGAGACACTGCCTGCTCTCACTGCAGCTGAGCAAGGTGAAGCCACAGCCCTGTGGACCTGAGGATGTGCCAGGTCCTGTTGTGCCAGGCTGGAGTGATCGGCCCAGGGGCTGGAGGCGCCCTGTGGCCCAGGCCTTGCTCTGCTGTCACACCTAAAACTGCTAAAGCACAGCAGAGCTGCCCCAGCTGCACCCCAGGGCTCTGCCAAGGGAGCAAATTCAGGGATTGAGTGACAGTCAGAGTGATTAATTCAGCTCTGAGGCCGGGCTGCCTCTCCCCAGCAGAGTATCGGTATCTGAATCCCTCCGGTGGCTGATTTAAAACCCTTCCTCATTAAGGAAAGCACTTGGGAAGGGTGGCTGAAGATGACAGAAGCTGAGCTGGAGAGGAACACGTTTAACTCCTTGAGCACAGAGCCTGTGTGCTGTGAGCTCCTGCTGGTGGCTGTTGTACAATGTAAAGCAAACCCCCTGTGAATTGTTCCACAGGAATCATTTTATCCGTCAAGACCCGCTCGGAGCAACAAGTGTCCAAGTTAAAGCAAGCAAACCTGAAACTTGCCACGAGGGTGGAACAACTGGAGCACAGCTGTTTGGAGAAGGTAAAAAAAAACACTTTTAATTTGGGTTTACCTGCTAATGGTGATCCTTGTGCAAGGTTGGCACTGCTGGCTTGGTTTCCTCATGGGAAAGTGTGGGGTGAGCTGGGCTGAAGCAGCACAGCCCTGCCCGTGCCTCCCTGGGCTGCTCCTCCTCACAGGAATGATGTCCCTACCTCTGTCCTACTTCTTCTGGCCAGGCTGTGCTGTTTTTCTGCAGCAAGAGATACATTAGAGCAGTGGGAAGATCCCTGGGAACCTGGGAAGTTTGATTTGAATTTTGCCTCCTACAGGAGCAAGAAATCGAGAGGCTGAATAACATACTGAAACAGCATGGACTCCTCAGCCAGCAAAAATAAGAGGCCAGTTTTCCAAGGTGGGAATTCTGCTTGAAGATTGCAGTGTTGGAATCTGCCAGCTTGACCTGAAAGGTTTTTCTGTCTCTTTGCTTCCTCTTGTATTGTGTTTTCTATAAACATTTTCTATTTGACCCCGCTTTGATCAGACCTTGGGATGGCAAAAATGCTTCTACTGGAAAATTAATCACACACAGTCCCTGTAAACAGCAATTTTTTTTTCCATTCTTGTACAGTTGTACAGTCAAAACTGAAAAATAATTTAATAAAGACACATCTTTACAAGCTATACATCCAGAAAAGTACCACTTATTTTAAATAATTTCTCTTTTTTTCTGTGATAACATTCTTTATTTGCAGCAAACTTGCAGTACCAATGGTAACAACCCAGACTGAAAAGGTAATTTCTTCTCCACCAGCTGCCTGCTCATCATCAATACATCTCTTTGCCAACCATTCTTCTCACACTGTTGGTAGTTTCCTCATTTCTGTTGCTGCTTGTGCCACTTTGTTATTTATATAACATTCATTTCAGAAACACCAACACACCACTCCTTTCCCTGACAAAGAAATCAGCCCCAAAATAGAGGCAAACGTGTGCCATCTTACGTCAAACAATGCCTTGTTCCAGCAGCAGATCCAGAAATGCAGTTCTGATTCTGCATTTCCTCATCTCCTCTTCCCTTTTCACTCCTGTTCCCTCACAGCCCATGGGGCTGCAAAGTTCTTTGTTCCCACAGCTCATAAATCCATGGATCAAAAGAGCTGTAATGTGTAAGAACAGATGTAGGTGAGTGCACTGCTGGGAACAGTCAGACTCCAGAAAAGCCATAAAAAAGCAAATTCTAAAGGGCCAGGCTGGTGTTTGAATTTTTTCAGGTACCACAGTGTCCCTGTGGAGAGGCTGTTTGAGAGCTGAGGAGTGAGGTTTAAGAAGTGGGAATTCAGAGAGATGGTGACTGCAGCAGGTGCCTCCCATGGATTTCAGCCCCACTCAGCTGGAGGGGTCATTAAACCACAACTCAACTGTTCAGGTTTTTAAAAAAAAGGTAATTAATTAGTGGTGTGGGAAAAATAGCCAGAAATATGTGGCTTATTCATCTCTGCAAGGAGATAAAGCAGAGGCCTTATCTAATAGCACATGATGAGTTTAATTAGCAATTTAGCTCTGTTGTTGTGGGATAATGAACTTGTTTTCCCTGTGCTCTTCCCTTGCCCTCCTGGCTCTGCTGGCCAGGCTGGGGCTGGGCCAGAGCCACCAGCAAGTTCAAACTGCAACCTTTGTCCTCTCTGCACAGTTACAATTGGGTGCTTTCCACTTCATGGGGGTTTCTTCACCCTAAACCTTCTGAGAGCCCTCACAAGGTCTCACCCTTCCTCTCTTGGCCAAATTTAGCCCAGCATCTACAACTTCAAAAAAAATGATGGCCCATCATAGTCACAGGATAAACAATGGACTAAAAATAAGATAAAGCAGAAATTGGGGTTTTTTATGCGTACTTACCTTAGACAAAGGGATAGAAAAAGTCAAAGGGTAACTTGATGTTAATGGTGGGCCAAGCTTTGTAGCTTGGCTCTGCAGGTGAAGAAATGTCAGTGAAAACCACAGAACTTGTTACAGGAATAATCCTTTCTCTTCCTGAGGGAAGCTGCAATGAAAATACAAACAGGACTTAGCTTCAGTTTTGTATTTGTTCAATCATGCATTTGGTCTGGGTTATATTTGCTAAAAAGGCAAATTTTTTCTTTTCTATGTAGTTCCATGTTTCTTTCCATAAATGCTATATAGATTTTTATTGAAGTGTGTTTTGGCAAGGAGCCCACAGCTGTGTTTGAGCTGGAAGAGAACTGCTGGGTGTAAATACATTCTAATGTGAAGTGCTGCCTTTAGATAATGAGATTATCTGGCTCATTGTCACACAGCTGATACCCAAGGAAAACAAGCCACTTGTTTTATCTTAAATCCTGTAATTTAATTACATACCTGCTTCAGTGTGCTGCTCGTGATTGTGGCTGTAACATTCACTATCCTGGCTTGGGGATTGACCAGGGATCCATATTTAGTCCACTTTATTTCTATTCCCAGTGACACAGGTATTTGGCATGAGCTCTGCAAAGTGTGAGAAATCATCTCATTGTCTGCCCTATGCAGAAACCATCACAGTAATGAATCATTCATGTTGTTAAAAGGGTAGAATGTCCCCACAAAGCTCACTGAGGAGGTTACCAGAGCAGATGGACCCTGCACTGTTGCTGGGCAGGACAAAAACCCTGAACTCTGCCAGGGCAGAATTTTGAAGGCTACAATGTTAAATATTTTTAGGCATGTCTCCTTGAACTCTCACACTTCTGGTTACAGAAACCATTCACTCTTTTTGTAGAAGCATGCAAGAGACCATCCACAATCTTATACTGTGATATTGTGCTTATCTCTCTCTTACCCTGGCCTGGATTAGGAGGGGAAACCCTGATTCTGTTCCTTCCCTCTGTCACCTCTGGTCCTTCATCCTTAGAAGAACAACATTCCAACCTGTGTTTAAACAACTCATTTTCTACCCAATACATTGCCCTGATCCATAGCTGAGGTGCCTGGATACCAGCTTGATGAAATATAACTTCTACAGCAAGAATGAAACCCTCTGTGAATATTCCATGAGTTTCTTCCAGCTCATTTCTGCATACCCAGCCCCATTTTCTCCTCCAGCTGGTTCCTGCATTTTTAGGGTGTGAAGCTGAGCTGCTGCTGCAGCACAGGCACAGATCTCGTGAGGGTGGAGGGGTGGGAGTGGTTGAACTTCACCTGTTCTGAGATGTGGAGCTGAGTTATTGGCACCCAGTCAAGCACATCCTGGGCTTGAGAATTCCCAAATGAGGCCACGAACTCAGGAAAGCTTTGGCCCTTCAGCACATCAAGGAGAGTCTGAGCCAAAGGCTGGCATGTCATAGCTGCTGTAATTCTTCCAGAAAACAAACAAAAAAAAGATGAGTTAAAGCAAAATCCATTGGTTTGGCACAGTCATCATTTCTCCTTGCTCTCTGCTCTGTTCAAGCCTTCTGGCTACAGTTGCTAATGTACACAATCTTTCCAAGAGAAAGACCATTGTTAATTAAATGACATTTTTTATAATTAAATACTCCACTCTCAATATTCCTCTAGCTGTATAAATGGCCCAGGACCTGAACAGAGCCTAAGGGAAAGGGTTGTCAGAGGGTTAAAAGCATTAAATAAAAAAAAATTAATAATTTCTTACCGTAACTTACAGCCTGATATCATATTATAACCAAATAATACTGGGGCTCTGGCTCCCTGTGCTGCCAGGCAGTCCTGGGTGGATGTGCTGTGCAGAATGGTGAGCTGGCTGTGTTTGTTACTACTCTGAATGATGCCAGATGTAACACACAGTTAAGGGAAATTAAATGCTTGATGGATATCAGGACAAAAAAAGAATTCTTAATCATATCCTTAAAATATAGCTGCAAATGCTATAATGGCTCCAGATTCCTCTCCCAGTGTGAAAAAGCACCAGGGTGTGCAATGGAGGCTTAAATGTACCTCAGTACAGTCCCAGGAGATTGCAGTCAGGACTGAGTCATTCCCTCCTCAAACACAGCCAGAAAAGCACATTTTTATTTTTGGCAGAGAACAGATGTATTTCATAGATGTCCATGATAGAAAGGGTTTGTGAGGCTGGACCAGAGCAAGGGAAGCAAACAGAAATGCAGCAGGGGAAGGATATCCTTGAGGCTGGAATCCTGCTCTGACAGGCAGCCCAACAACATAACCAGGATTGCCACTCAGAGGAACTGGCTGTGTGTTCTCCTGCAATGCAAACACAGCATTAGTTCTTATCCTGCACTTGAGTGCTTGGAAAACACAGAAATATTTCAGTTATTTTAGGATTATGTCCTGCCTTGAATGATGAGGACAAAACTGTAAGTGAGGCTTTGCTTTCTCTGTTACAGTCACAAGCTGGGGCCCAAAAATGTGCCAGATTTTGGAGGCCTCCATTGCCCAGCTCTGAAATGCTGCCTCATCTGGGCATCCAGGGCAAGTTCTGCTTTACCTTGCTGCTAACAATTGTTCTGATTCAACTTTAATAAGTTTTGTAATTAAATGTCTTTTACCAAGTCACCCATGACATCTCCACAGTTACCTGAGTGAAGCTGATTTCGAAGCTCTGCTCTATTGAAAGTGCTTCTCTGCTAATTGCCCCCAAGACAAAAGCTGCAGCTGCTTCTATTATTTCTCCTGTGTCTGTGTGGGTAATGTGATAATTCACCTGAAAATTAAACATTTTAGATATTAATTTGAATAAATACATAAGAGAAACTAGAAAAAAAAAATTTAACCATGCAAGTATTTTCTTTCTTCTTTGCTTAAGAAACTCAGCTCCAGGGTGGGGATGGATTTTATCCTGTAGAAGCTGGAGCCTCTTCACAACTGACTTCTTGATAAACCTAAGCACAGACATATCTTTAAAATTAAAAGATGATGTGCAGCATCTCTGTCATTAGTGCCCCTGAAATAATTTTCTCCCAAGTATAAAGTAAATTCCAAACTCATACACAGAAGTAGCACCAGGATTTCAGCCTGGCTCCATGTTATATTGCACAGTTATTATTTTGTTGCAAAACACTCCCTTTTACCCAAAATCAGTGTTTCTCCCATGACATTTACTCAGGAGATGTCACAAAAATGAAGCTGCAAGGCCTCCTGACAGCTTTGCAGTTTGAGGATCAGAAGTGATTTGATGTTTTCCATCAGCTCTGAGGAGGAAAAGGCTGCCAGACCTACCCCAAGCACTGCATTGATGCACAGCCCATCCAAAACCATGGGGAGCCTCAGGGCTTCACTGCTGCTCAGTAAAGTCCTCATTCCATTCACAGACTGGACAACTATGGACTGGACAGTGATATTCACCTGAAAAACAGACTCATGTCAGCTCTGAACACTGGTATAATTAATTTTGGCTTTTTCTGTGTTATTATATTTGTGACCTTTCCGGGTTCTGTTCCACAGCAACAGCATGCAGTAATTCTCTGAACAACTGCTGTGTTACAAGTGCTGCTGAAGCTCAACCAAAGGGTCTGGGTATAAATAAAAAAGAGATTTTCTTGAAAATAGGGAGTTTTATATGAAAGGAATGTATCAGGCTTGAATGTTTGCAGGCAGCATTTTATCTTGGAGTTGCTAAGCATCATTACTGATAGCAAATGATGTAATTTTTTAAATGTAAAGATTTGATCAATCAGTGAAAAATTCCCACTGACTATAACTTAATAAGAATTTTGCCCACAGCTCTTCCAAGTAATTTAGAAGGATACTTACCATCTGACTTGATTTGGGCACCTGAGGGAGAATAAAAGGACAAATTAAAGCAGTAGCAAAGATCTGACCTATTGCACGTAGCAGCCAAGTAAAGCAGGTGAGGCTTTGTCTATTTAACTCAATCTCATAACAGTAACTTTTATGTTATGGAGTTAATTGGATATAAAGCAGAGTACCCAGGAAGTGTGAAAAGAACTGCCACAATCCACTCCCCTCCTTCTTCTGACTTTTAGAATTATTCAGAGACCACCAGTTTAGGAAACCTGCCAGGCTGTGCTTCCCAGATGAAGAGCTTTTTTGTCCTGTCCAGTTTCATGGTCTCCAAACCAATACAAGAGAAGCAAGTATCTCTCTTGTTATACAGTTGCCCCACTGGAAAATATCCACCAAAAATATTTCATGGAAGGGCAGAAATGTCAGACCAAGGTCATCAATCAGGTAAAAATACTCCCATGGAGCAGAATTTTGTCAAAGGTTTTACTTTTCTGACTTTCCAATGACTGTTTGAGTCACATCTTTGGGAAGGGACCAAGGATTGGACTCTGATCATAAAGAAATTCAGCAGAATTGTGATGGGATACTGAGAGCAGTGACTCATTCCTGTCCCAGCAGGGAACACATTGCTGGGAGCTGCAGAGCTGAAGGTGCTGCAGGTACAGTTTGTCACCCATTCATCATCCCAAGGTACAGCCCAGCCATCAGAATGAGCTGGCTAATAAAAATCTCTGTAAAGATTACACTCATCCTTCAGGGAACAGTGCTGGGAGCGAGCACCACTCCTGAAGCTCTGTTTGTCACGGCTGGGCTGATGGATGGTGTCTCTGGAGGTCACTCAGCTCTGCAGCCACGCTGCGGCCTCAGCAGGGAGGCAGCAAAGGCAGGGCCAGCTCATTGCTGCGGCAGCTCCCCACTCACTGAGCAGGGTGTGTGTGAAGCTCCAGGGTGAGGATCCAGCTGGGACATCCCAGGAATCCCCAGCGCTCCCTGGATCTGCTGGTCAGGGCACAGGGCAGCGTTTATCTGCAGCAATTCCCAAAAGGGTTCTCACTGCAGCTGCCCGTGCAGCAGGGAGGGTGGGATCCTGGGATGGGCTGTTCTGTCCCAGTGCTCCCAGTAAGGCTCCCCTCGTTACTGGTTTGCCGTTTTTATGCCGGCAGCTCCACCTGCTGGCACTGGGAGGGCTCCTGCTCTGCCCTGTGGCCACCCTGTCCCCAGTGCCATCACTTTCCTGTTGTCACATCCACCTCCCCTTCCCACAGAGCATCTCCAGCAGCTTCTCAGCCCTCTCCAGTTCCTGCAGCTGATCCCTCCCGACTCCCAGCGTGCTCTGGGCAGAGTCTGGCCCTTCCCAAGCTCAGTCACTGCCTTGACAAGCAGCACAGGGATAAGGGGTTATGGATTTTCCAGTCAGGAAAGGGAATTCATCTTTAACTCAAACCCACTCAGCTGCTGGAGCCCAGCCTGAGCCACTCTTGCTCTTTTCTGGTGCTGCAGCCAACAAGAATTAATTTGGGGAGGACATGGAGACACCCAAAGCCCTTCTGAGGCAGGGTTTTCTCCCCTTCTTCCACAGCAGGAGGATCAAAAGCCAACATTTGGGAGCAATCCCTGGCTGATTTCAGTGAGATCCTCAATGATCCCGTCTGTGAGGGTGTGAAGTGCTTAGTGGGCTTTCCTTGCCTTTGGGAGCTTTGCAATCTGTGAGCAGCCTGGAAGGGGTCTTTAAGCAGTTACTCACTGCTAATTAAATGAATTAAAATAATTACATAAATTAAAATAATTTTAATGGTGAAGAGGTTGCTGTTTCTTTACAACCTTCAGCTTCTGGAAGGAGCCATCAGGTTAAGGTATGATGCATTTTAGTTTCATTTTTTCATGAGTGATTTCTTTGTCTTCCTGAATATCCTCACAGGGGATTTACTTGTACAGAAGGCATCATCCCCCAGGTCAGAAAGGGATGAAAAAGAAGGCAAAGCTTTGAAAAATAACCCCAGACTGGGTTTTAGCAGGCAGGATCCAAAGAAACCTTCTGTCAGTCATGTTGTTTGGGAACACAAAGAAAGCTGTGTCAGCCCCCACTATCAAAAACTGAGGCTTGCAGGAAAGGGGCAGATGCACAGGATAAAACCTGACAGGTTCTTCTTTCAGTGCAAAGTTTTAGCAACTCTAAAACTCAGATTTCTTAGAATTATGTGTTCTGATAAATGGGCTTCTTGGAAAAGCCTGAGCATGCACAGGAACAAGAAACTGCACTAGCTCAGTGCCACGACCTTGGCTCTTCAAAACTATTATTTTTTATTTTATCTTTGAGTATATTATTTATATTTTGCTAAGTAGAGAACAGTAAATGCTTCTGTTACCAAAGCTTGAAGTAAAAACATTCCCAAAGGCTTTCTGTATAAAATCTGCTGTACAGGGAGACATTTCTTCCCAACCCACAATTTAAAAATCCAAATAAAACACAATATCCCTCAGCAAACAGAAGTTACTTCATTCTGCAGATGTAAAAGAGATAAAATATGAGTATTTCAGCTATATAGCTGTTTCAAATCATACTTACTGCCAAAATGCTGGAGTTGATATAAAACAACATGCTAAGTGCTTGAATGCTGTCACATTTTTCCACACTTACTGATCTAATGCATTTTGTGGCTTGGTTTACTAAAAACCCTGGAAAAAAAAAGTCATCAAGTGTTACTGGAGGAAGTGAAAGAGCAATTATGAAAAGCAAAATGAAAAACAATACAAGCACCAGCAAAATTGAAAGTGTCATCTCTGTTGCAGATAAGTTTTTATGTGAGCTTTGAAGAATGAAACTTTTTATAGTCTCAAAAAAAATGCTATGAGAAAAATTATTATTTCTTAACAAGTAGAAAAAGCTTTATGAAAATTAAGTAATTTTTGAATCTCTTAATAAGATATTTTTTTCCTTCACAAGAGACTTCAGTCCTGTAATCACCACCCTGACTGTTATGAGACCACATTTAATGGTGACAGTGGGCTTTGGGAAATGCAGGTGTGGGTTTGCTTGGGGGGTTTTTTTCACCTCCACCTCAGCAGATTTTCAGGAAATTGTGTGAGAGGTTAAAATGCAGAGCTCAGCCTGTAAATCTGACTTGTGAGAGGAACCCTGGGCACAGGGAAGGTGCCAAGGCTGCCCAGCAGGGCTGGCTTGGTGCAAAGCCCTCCTCCCTCAGGGTGTCACCCTTGTGCTGTTTGGTTAAACCAATTTTGCCAAACAGGACGTTTTCCTATTGGATAAACAACCCTTTAACAAGATTTTCAGGGATTTCAATCTCAATTTGAATGTTTAATAGAGATACAACACAATTTCCATTCTATGTCTTAAAAAAAACAAAACAAAAAAAAACCCAGAGAAACAGAAGTGATTTAAAAATCATCTGTTTATGAATTGTTAGCTGAATTCTCCATGGGGAGTGTGCCAGCTTTCTGACTGACTAATCTAAGAGCAGAATAATAAAAAGCAAAAATTTGGGATTCAAGTGCATTTTCCAACCTGCAGGATTTGCATCAGAGCACCAAGAAGAGACAACAGGACTTGGCAGCCTCAGAAATGCATCCTCTGTCTGGACAGGAACCCCATACTGCCAAAGAAAATCCACAGTCAGGACACAGGTGTGGGTCAGCCCATTTTTATTGACAACAAACATGAATAAAATCAGTATTTATTTTCCCAGGATCTCTCAGTAATGCTCTGTGCAGCAATTTTTTCAGTCACTGCTACAGCTTTATGCTGAAAATAGCAGGAAAAAAAATAGCAGGAAAAAAAATTCCTTATTTTTCAAAGATCTTAAAAATCTAGTTCACTTTTTAAGTAACTAAACACAAAACATTAAATTTCTTATTTTACATTTCTATATTTAAAGACCAATATAAATTTTGCTTCTTCTAGCAGAACTGCATTATTTAAAAGCAGATGCAAACAATGCTGATTTCTTCTTTCTGGAATAATTTAATACTAATTGCACCAAATATGATTTCCCTCCTATTGAATCAGAGAGAATTTACCTCATATCTGGAAGTTTCATTTGCCTCAGGGGGATTTTGAGCATCTGTATCCAAATTCCAGCTGTCAGGCTCAGCACTGAAAGTTGCACCTCCAAATTTGTCAAGCAACTCATCAAAATTCTCTGCAGTTGGGATTTCAGGGGATTTGAAGTACAGGGCTTGTTCATCTGATAAAATATTTAAAGAAGGAGATAATTAAAGGAAAAAATATACAGAAACAATAATTAGTAACAATGAGACAATTTTAAGCATTATTTATTTAGGATGCTAAATTATTTACAAAAAAAAACCCCAAACTATTTTGTTTTCTCCAACAGAGAAGACCAAGGGTACCAGATGTTTAATTTCATGTTTTCACAAGTGAAAGGATCACAACATAAGGACTGTGAGCAGACAGAATTACCACTTTCCTGAGGGGTTTAATAAAATAAAAATAGTTTTAAATTTAGTGTTTTTTCTGGTACCTAAAGAGCTTACCAAAAAAAAAAATAACACCACAATGCTTAATATTGCCTACAACTCTACTTACAGTTTGTAGCATGAATGCAGAAAATACTGGGATTGACTTGGTCAATTATTTTAAATATCCTTTCTGGTGGATTTGCTTCAACATCAAGAGAATACACAGCAGCTTTCTGACTACACAGCTGGCTGTCACCCCTGCAAAGACACAAAATAAATTAATGATCAACTCAAAGTTAGTGCTGACCAGATTTTAAAGTTCTTTTAATCTAATGAGGCAGCACCAGAAAAATTTTAAAAGCATGAAATGACTGAATTTAATATAATTTGTAGAACAATTGTGCATCCTTAGAAGGTTCCTGTTGTTTCATACTCTGTGCTTAATAATAAATAATAGAGAATTCTCCCACATGTTTTATTCAGCAGAGGAAACTGAGCAGCCACATGAAGGAAGGTAAGAAAAGGACTGGGGGAGGGAAAGCCAGGAACAACATGAGAGAGAAAATGTCAAATTGGGTGGGATCCAGATGGTTGAGACCCCAAAAATGCAGGGCTGCACCACAGGACACACACAGCTCAGCAGCACTTCCATTCCTACAACCCAAGGGGGATGCCAGAGCAGGAAAACAGGTCAGTTTGGTGGATGTTGGAATAATATTCAATGTGAGCAGGGAATGGGAAGAATTCCTGCTTGAGATGATGTGAAAGAAATGGCAGAGTGAGGAAGAGGAGGTGAAATAACCCAGCCTGTCTTGGAGGAGTGTTTAAGTGCCATGGGCTCATCAGGAGCTGCAGGAGAATGTGAGGCTGTGCCAGTTCAGAGCCTGGCAGCTCTGCTGTGCCCCACATGCCACAAACAGCAGCTGATGATCCCTCTCAAACTGGTTTTTAGCAGCACACAGCAGCTGAGGACAGGCCCTGGAGAAGTGAAATGACTTTCAGAGATTTTGAAGCCTGGAGTTAAGCTTTTCTATGAGGTGAGTCATTGTTAATAGGATCCCATCATAAATCAAACCCAACAGGATCCCACCATAAATCAAACCCTTCTGTTTCAGAGATCTCACGGCCTCTGCCTTGGGATCAGCCAAAATAACACAAATATGCAAATGTAGATAAACTCTGATGTAAATAATGAGAGCCACAACACCTGCAGACACTGAAAATCCCCTGGCTTTTCATGCAAAATAAATGTGTTACACAAAAGAATTTGGGCAAAGGAACACAATTTCATTTGAGGCATTTCTAGCTGACAAAGGCAGCACAGTCATCTGAGGCAATTAAAGTGTCACTCAGGAGGGTGTTGATTAGACCTTTCTGATCCATATAAATATCTATAAATGGGGAGCAGGAGTCTTTTGTGTGCCAGAACAATAAGAAACCACAGTCTGGCATGACTGCTAATTCAAATTCCAAAGCACCAAGAATAAACCCAGTGCTCAGATTGGCATAATTTATACAGAAGGTGGGTTGAAAAAGCTGCACTTATTGTTCTGAGAAGTCACCAAGAGATTTTTTTTTGCACATTATTATTTTGAAGTGAGTGTTCTTAACTCCTCTTTCAGAAGATGAAGTTGGGGTGAAGGTGTTTTCAGATTAAATAGCAAAGAAACAACTCTTGGCTTTACTTTTTTGGTATAATGTTACATTTTATTGTTTGTGAAGTGGCAGTGGAAGAACAGGTTGTAAAATTAGGGTCAGAAAAATGCTCACACTATTCCAACAAGCTCTGAACTGATTAAATGTGTAGCTGATATCATAAATGTAATCAAAGAGGTCACTGATAAAAACTGGTGATCTGCAGAGCAGTGGCCAGATTGGTCCTTTGGGATCAGCTTTCTTAACTCCCAGACATTGCATTGATCAAAGTCTAAAGATTCATTATTCTTACCCCAAAAAAGCAGCAAAACCTGAATTCCCACAGGGAGGAGCACAGGGAAACAGGAGGAGAGAGGGAAGAGAGGGAGAGAACTGGGTGGGAGCTGGATTTGTGCTCTGCCTGGGGGAAGAACAGCAGGGAACTGCTCAGAGGAGAGGACAGGCAGCAAATGGAGAAGGATTTTGTGCTTTTCTGGTCATTTCTGCACTCACATGACCACGGGGATGGAGCACGTGGTGAAGAGGCTGAAGTCCTCGGCGCTGCAGTCGGGGTCACAGCAGCAGTTGGTGTCGCACTGTGCCACCAGCAGGTCGCACACACAGAGCCTGGCAACTGCAGCAGAGAGGGAAACGAGAGCTGCAGAGGGGACACTGCACACTTGGCACCTCACCCTGGCTTTGATTGTGGTCAGAAGTCCTCTCCAAATTCATGTTTTCTTGTATAAATCATCTTTTCTGCTGCTGAGCAGATTTATTTGGAACATGTGGACAAAACCAAGCCATGCTAAAAACAGTTCCCTGAGAAACAAAACCCAACAGGGATTTTGGAGGTGTGAAAATCTGCTCAGCCTTGCAGAGGAAAAAAAAATAAGAGGTACAAACAAGGTGTGTTTATCTGCTTGTTTCAGCTTATTGGGAAGAAAAATAAAACATTTTGAAGGAGCAGAGATGTTTACAAGTTTTGAGGATGGCTCAGGGTCCAGGACTACATTTCCCTTATGTGCCAAAACAACCATAATTGACTTCTTTGAAACTGTTTTTTCTGTCTGTTTTTAGATACTGTGAAATGTTGTAATCACAGACAGAGTAATTGCTAATAATTCTGTAAACTGGCTCAGTAACATACACTTGGCAAATTCTTCAAACTCTCTGAGGTCTTCAGGTTTATAAAGTCAAAGAACAGATATTATTCTACTGAACTGTTTTTGAGAGGTGCTGTTCTATAATTAATCTAGACTTAAGAATAGCACAGAATGAGGAAAATTAAGGCCACTGTTTTATAAGAAAGACATTCAAAGAGCATTTTCATAACTAATTCCTTTATTTCACTTTGCTGCCTGATTCCCTGTGGCCCCGTGGATGCTCTCTGACCACCTGAACAGCATCCAGGTATTTCCTGGAATCTCTGGAGTTCTGACTGTTCTCTTGGCTGAGCTTAGCCCTGGATCCTTAGCTCACCCTGTAAACAGAGAAGTTTAAACATGGATTATTAGATTGCAAGGTTATGTCTGTGAGATTAGGGATTTAAATCCCTTTTCCCTAAGGAGGCAGCACTGGGGTGGCTTTCCCGTGGCAATTAACCCATGGAAAACTCAGCTGAGGGCAACACTAGCAGGATATAAAACTGACATAAAAGTGTAGCAAATTATATAGTGGGAAACACCTTCTGAGAACACAGTAACCAAACTTTGTGAGCTCTGCTTTTATGACAATGTATCCACAGCGCTTGGGGCACAGCGTGCACCCAGCCCGGGCTGTGCTGGAGCTCTCCAAGGACACCCAGGGCCCTCCTGTGCCAGCTCAGAGCAGGGCTGGGTGGGCAGCAGCCCCTGCCCTCCACCCCAGAGACCCTCAGGGCTGTGGGGTGCCCTGCTCTGGGTGTCCATGCCAGGATCAGCGTGCCCAGGG